TTATAAAAAAATATAAAAAAATATATTCTAGCGGGCATATTTGGCCGCTGGACAGTTTAAGGGATAAAATATAATTGTATCAATTTAGTAACTATCTAGTTACTTAATCATAATTATATTGTTGCATTATTGCAATTTGATTTATTTTAATATTATTATAATATTATCATAATGTGATTACTATAATCATAACTATATTATAGCAATTTTATATTAATATATAAAAAAAATTGTACCAATTTGATAACAATCTAGTAACTACTTATTCAAACTTCTGTAAAGAAGTTGATCAACAATAATTATACAATCTTCATATATAGTTTTCATATTTATTACTTTATATTGTAATTGTAAGCTACTGACAAAGTTAAAAAATCACTTATTTTTAACTATATAAAACAAAAATGCATATCTAATAATTATTTCTGTTATATTTAACTAGAATGTGAAGTATAATAAAATTTTATATTTTTTAGTTTATACAAATTTAATTAGTTGGATTACATTCATCAGTGTTACGTAATCCAACTAAATAAAATTTCCTTATTTGGATACCCCTATAATTCTACCTTTAGTGGCGACATTTTAACAATTTGGGTACCAGAATACAAACTCCGATTGGCTAATTAACATCATGTGCCGATTTTCAAAGATTTTGATTGGTTAGCAGTCACGATTTTTAGGAAAATCTACCGAAAGCGACATTTGTTTAGGAATTTTTTGCCGAAGGCGACATTTGGTCAATTACGTATTTATATTTTAAATAGTAAATTTAGCGATATTTTATTGGATAGTTCGGATTTTTTTGCCGAAGGCGACTTTTTACTTTTCTGAAAATTGTGTTTTCGGAGTTTCGTTTTTTATCGTTAGTAATCGTTTTTGTGAATTTTCGTCTTTGATAGTCAGACTTTGAACGATCATAGAGGATTTTTTCATTAATTAGCATATCTTGACGATTAATAAACGAATATTTAGTAAAAGAAAACAAAAAAATAAAGAAAAAAACTAAAAATTGTATGTGTTCTCCTATGAGTGTTCAATCTAGTCAAGATTAGAATAATATTTTTAATGAGGATAATTTAAATAGTTTATTATTTATATTTTTATTATATGTATTTAAATATATTTAAATTACTTTTAATAAATATATAACATTAAAATTTTACTTCTTTTCCGTTCATGTTTCTTGTAATTTTATCATGAGTTAATTTAAAATCAATACATTGTTGTTTTGTTTGTTCAAAATTTCTTTCATCATTAATATAAAATCTTTTAATTTTATGTTTATTATTATCTTCATAATAATCAAATCTCCAACTATTCCTCGATTTTTCAAAACAAATTCCATTATAACCTGAGGTATTATTTTTAAATAATTTGCGATTTAAATTATTTTCTCTATATGTGGTTTCTCTAAGATTACATTTTCTATTATCAAGTCCACACCGGTTTACATGGTCAATCATTTTCCATTTAGGATGAATTAATCGATGGAGTTTTATTTTTTTTCTTTTATTAACTGTTTCAATATAATAAGTATTTGCATTTTTTCTTTTATCACAACACCAAGTATAGTTTTTTAAAAGATGAAAATTCTCCTTATCAAGCAGAAATGTGATTTCAGATTTTTGAGTTTTCGCTTCTAAATAGATAGTGAAATTGATTTTCACAAGGCGATACTCATTCAATTTTAATTTTGGTTTATCGGAATTCTTGTATTTTTCCCAATCTGTTAGAATTTCGAAGTCTTTGAATTTCTCTGGCCAATTAGACATTTTTATTAATAAAAAATAATTGACAAAAAACAAGCTTTTTATATTTTATTTTCTTAGTCAAATTAAAAAAAAAAATCAAACAAATTTTCTTACAAAAAAAAAAACAAAGTTGAAATTATTCATCAAAATAAAAACTTTATTAAAATAATTTATAATTGATATATTTTCGTCTTGTAAAATTTTATAAGTGCAAACCAGACCAACGTGCAGGTAGTATATCATCTGGTTCTTAAAAAATTGAACGAAGAGCCAGAATTCAGGGGAGGATTATATCGGCCCCCAGACCAATTTTTGATATAATCCTTATCTTACGCTCATCCGTTTTATAACCCAGATACTGCTTTGCTATCAGGTAGCCAGCCTCAACGTACCAGGAGTCCTTGTGAGTGTTGCTCACAAGTCTTTATTTGAAATTCTTTTTTTGTTTTAAGACCAAACAAAAAAATAGAGCTTTCGTAGCGAACTACTACTAACTAAAAAATCAATCAAGCCATGCTTCCACGCTACAACTTTCGTTTAGTAAAGAGAAAATTTACCAAGGCCAAGTTGTACTAAAGACCTTCTAACGAACGAAAAATTGTTGAACTAGCGACTTTTCGACTATATCGTTTAGAAATTTTATGCATGTAATTTAACAGGGATTCTACTAGCTTAGTT